AACTCTAAACCCTAAACTCTAGACCCTAAAACCCTAAACCCTAAACCCTAAACCCTAAACTCTAGACCCTAAAACCCTAAACCCTAAACCCTAAACCCTAAGCCCAAAACCCTAAGCCCTAAGCCCTAAGCCCTAAACCAGGCAGGCTGGGGATTAGGGACCCTGGGTTTAGGACAATTTAGGGATCTGTGCATCTGCGGTGCTTTTAAAATCTCATAGTGTCATAGACACGACAGATCGCAAGCTTCTGGGCAAAGCTTGTGCGCATTGGGTTTACCTGAAAAACATGAAACCCCAATTCAATGCCGTTTCTTGGTAACGGTTGCAACAGCCCCCACCGAAAACTATGTATAGTTGGGAACCGACAAATAAGAGAATTGAAAACATCCCGGACCCTAAACCCCTAAGCCCCTAAACCCCACATTTAGAGATATTGACTGTGGCGTCGAAGGTGCTGTGCGCGGGATCCATTGCTGGTCGCGAGCGCCAGCGCTAGCAAACACAAGCCGGAAAGCCTGAGAGTAGGAATCGATTCACCCTAAGGGTCCAAGTAGATGATAATCATATAATTACCCTCCCAAACCCTAAACCCTAAACCCTAAACCCTAAACCCTAAACCCTAAACCCTAAACCCTAAACCCTAAACCCACACACTAACATACACAACTACTATCCTACACCCAAGCACCTGATACTTCGACACTTGGAGCGAGGTTTTAGGGAGTTCGCGCTGCGCACTCTGCCTTGGGGAGGATCGAAAGCTGGTCTCTTTGCAGCTAGTGCCTTTTAGCCCTAAACCCCTAAACCCCTAATCCCTAAACCCTAAACCCTAAACCCCCAAACCCCTAAACCCTAAACCCTAAACCTGCTTTTCTTTGGTTGAGTCCCTAGGTTTTCACAAGAGCACCTGCCCACAGCATCGAAAATCCTCCTTGACCCTTCAGCTTTCTTGGGATCCTTGTTGCACAACGTTTACTAGGGTTAAGGGTTTAGGGTTTAGGGTTTAAAGCCTTAATAGGTAGAATAGGGTTTGGGTGTATAGTATACCATAGCTATGACAGGGAACCACCCCAAAATAGTACAGATAATTATTTTATCAATTACCTATACATAACAGGGAACCCGCCAAAATAGTACAGAAAAGTGTTTAATAATTACTATACTATTTTTGTTTGGGGGGGCCCTTATTTTAAGGCCTCTAGAGTAGTTCATTGATGAAGGGCTTTAGGGTTTCCTGCGAAAGGCTTGGAAAGGAAGGGCCAGTCCAATAACTGCTTGGAATTCTTTATCCCGGCTGGAATCCTGGGTTTATGCTTACTAGGTACTAGGGTTTAGGGTTTGGGGTTTAGGGTTTAGGGTTTAGGGTTTATATAGGTTTTAGGCTACCCAATAGCACCTTTACCATGGTGCCCTTTCCGGGTGTTCGGTCTTAAGACGGGGACACGGAGCTAAAGGGTATAGGGCTCCACCGGCCTACCGAGTTCGCGAGCATACGCATCGGGTACGGAAGCAGTGTTCGGACTTGCGGTTCGATGACTACTCGTCTTAGGGTTAAGGGCTTAAGGTTTAGGGTGTAGGGTTTAGGGCCTATAGGGCTTAGGGTGTTGTTGTGGATCGTGTTCCCTTTGCTGAGTCTACAACATCCCCAAACTCTAGATGGATCTTACATTTGGCTGTGCAGATCGCAGTCCTGCCGAGACTGGGCTCCTGTTGAGGGTTTTGATTTATGTGACCATAATCTCTCTTCTTCAACAACCAGGCCCAAAAAAGTTCAAACTTTTTCGGATAGACCTAACGGATATAGCCAAAAAGTTTAAAGTTCTCCCATTGGCTATCTAAGTAATCGGGATCCATGGTAAAGCCATCTGGCTTCTTTCTTATTGTAACTTAAAGGTACTTAAAAGTTAGTTCCTTAGCAGGGACCCAGGAGATAAACATCCTGGATTCGGTCCGGTTCGTGGACACTCAGGGTGTGGAGTTTGGAGTTCTACTCTCCCCTCAACGAACATTTGTAACTGTGATACAGTGGTCTTACGTATTGTTGATTGCAATAGAGGGGCTTTAGGTAGACATGATACAACGATCATAACCCTCTTCAGGGTCCATAATTGTAGGGCCCCTAAACCCTAAACCC